TTTGTCCATTTCTTCAAGACTGATGAATTTACATGCCTAAAACTAGTATTTCCTTAATGTCCTTCTAACGTCTATAGGGTCTCTAGCAGTGGTTCCCTTTCATTATCATTCCCTTTCATTTCATTAGCTGGTGCCTCCCTTCCCCGGTCAGTCTGGCTCGGGCTCATCAAGTGGACTGAGCTTCCCAAATAACTCTTTTTGCTGTCATTGAGTTTTTCTTTCACGTTTTTGTCTTCATTGATTTCTGCTTTGATTTCCTTTGTTCTCATTATTTTGGATTTAATTTGCCTTTTTTCTAATTAATTAAGGTGAAAGTTTAGCTTATCGATTAGAAAGTTCCCTTTAAAAAAAATAAGCATTAGTATTATGAATTTCTCTTTGAGGAAAAAAAGCGGTACTTCAGCTGCAGTCCACAAATGTTCACGCTCGTTCAGTTTAAAATATTTTCTAATTTCTCTGGAATTCCTTTTCCCCCATAACTGTTTGTATCTGTGCATCTTTCAGAGATCGGTCATTGATCTCCAGAGTCATTACATGGTGGTCTGAGATCCCGTTTGGTAGGATTTCAGTTTTTCCTTAATTTGTTCAGGTGGACGGCACGGCCCAGGACACGGTGCACGCTGGCGTGTCCCGCGTCATGTGACGAGAAGGTGTGCTCTGCTGTGGGCGACTCGGCCCGGCCGGTCTGTACCCTGGAGAGGCTGGCTGCGTGTCTAGCCTCCGAGAGACGGTCAGTCCTCCGGTTCTGCCGCGTTTTGCTTCCTGAGTGTTGAAGTCCCGTGGTTTGGGGATACGCGCCTTGGGCTGCGATGCCTGCCTTTGTCACGTAACGTCCCCCGTCTCTGGCGATATGCGTCTTGAAGTCCGCGCGTCTGGTGCTGACACGACCACGCCGGCTTTCCCGTGATCCGTGTCTCCGAGAGGTATTTTCCCCATCTTTCTCTTTTTTACCTGCCTTTGCATTACAGTGGGTTTCTCGGAGATACCGTAATCAGGCTTTTTCATTTTTATTCCTGTCTGGCAATGTCTCCACTTGGTGTGTTCATGGTCAGCGTAGATGTCAAGAACTGGACTTAGATCTACCCCTTTATCTCTGTTTGTGCCTCTGTTTCCCCTTTCCTGCCTTTTTCCGGAGTGTTTGAAACCTGTCGCACGTCACCCTCGCTCTTTCGGGCTGCGCGTGCGCACGTGTGCGTCTGGTCGCGCGAGGGGGCTCGGCCACGCGCAGGCCTCCCGCAGGGATCCGGAGGTGACTAGGCGCTCTGCCCCTCCGTCGCGTCGCCGCTGTGGGCCTCCACAAGCGCGGGGATTCTCGCTTTCGACGGTCACGTGTATGGTTAAGAACGAGCCGGAAAATGACCTCCTCTGCGGACTCGGACGGCGACCGTTTCTGCTGCTCTTCACCCGTTCCCGAAGACACACACGTCCCTGTGGCGTCGCTTCCTGGTGGCCCGAAGAGCGCCTCTGGCAGCTCCGTCTGGAGCCCGTCTGCACGACCGCCTCCTAGCGGCCCTTCACCCAGGAGTGTCTCCGTCTTTCCTTCCTTCCCAAAGCACGTTCGGGCGACGCTGAACTCCGGGCCGCCGGCGCGTTCCAGACCCTGCTCCCCGTCTTCTGGCCTCTGTGGTTTCTGATCCCACCTGCGTGTTCGGATCGCTGGTCCTCTGGACAGCTTTCATTTCCACCTAGAGGCTTCTAGATTCTTTTTCTTTGCCTTCAACTTTTTACCAGTTTAGTTACATGTCTGGGCACAGGTTTCTTTGGATTTGCCCCGTTGTGTGTGTGTGTGGGGGGGGGTCACTGCAATTCATATGTCTGTAAGTTGAAGTCTTTCCTCAAATGTGAGAAATTTTCGGTCAATCTTTCTCCATTTTTCCCCCCTGCTATCATGTTTCTCCTCTCTTGGGATTTTTTTTTTTTTTTAAGATTTTATTTATTTATTGGACAGAGAGACACAGCGAGAGAAGGAACACAAGCAGGGGGAGTGGGAGAGGGAGAAGCAGGCTCCCCGCCGAGCAGGGAGCCCTGTGTGGGACTCGATCCCAGGACCCTGAAATCATGACTTGAGCCAAAGGCAGACAACAACTGAGCCCCCCCAGGCGCCCCCCTCTCAGGATTTTAGTAACACAATGTTGGACCTTCTTGTCCTGTCTCACCGGTCCCTGCGGCACGGACGAGCCCCCACTCTTCTGTCTCTCCTCCAGACCCGACGACGTCTGCTGGCTGATCACCCGGCTCACACAGGCTTTCCTGGACACCTCCTCTCTGCGATGGAGCTTGTTAATTTTTTGGACTTTCAGTGTATCTTCTGGTTCTGAAATACGCATTTTGCTCTTGTGTCTTCTCCGCTCCCCAGCAAAGGTTTTCCGTCTGTTTCCAGCGTGTTTAACTTGACCTCCTGGGATGTAGTTGCTGTCCTTGCTTTCGTGTGTTTGAAAATTCAACCACCTGGACCTAAGCTGGTATCTGTGACCAGTTTCCCAGGGGAAAGACAGTCGCAGATACCAGCTTTGTATGGTGAGTGACTGGGGGTTGTAGATCCGGCATCCGGGCTGCCGTGTCGACTCCAGGTCTGTCATGATCCTCAAAAGGATTCTTGTCCAGCAGCCCGTCAGCCTGGCTGGCTCAGACCACAGGTTGTGCCGATCTCCGGTGGCCACCGTGAGCTTCAAGTGTTCTTGTGCATGTGGACGGGGCAGCAGGCGTCCCTCCTGAGTTTGTGGCCAGTGAGTGACCGTGGAACAGAAGCCCATGTGTTGTCAGGACAATGCCCCACACCCTGCCTCATGTCCCCCAGTTTTCTCCCTGGGTACGGCAGGGTTTCAGGGAGACCCTATGGGGGTGGCCGTAAGTGGGGAGGGGGCACATGCATCCTCAGGACAGGGCACACGGGGGCCGGGGGACCTCCATCTATAGCCGGCAGCCCCCATTCTGTAACTGGGTGCCCAACCCCTAACCCTAACCCCCATCTCATCCTGGGTGCTCCCCCCTCCTAATTCCCCATCCCCTGCTTTTAAAACTTTCATGCTGCCTGTACTGGGGACAGACGTGCATCCCACGAAAATGGTCCCAGTGCCCGGTCCTCACCCCTCTTTCCTGCCCCAGCTCCCCACATAGTGCTCTCTAGTCTGATGGCCCCATGGCCCCCTGTAAGCCTCTCCCACCTGTTTCCCTAGCCCCCACTGATCTTGGGTAGGATCCCAGCTCTGCCACCAGGGCTTTGAACTCAGTTCTCACTTGTCTGCGGTGTTCCGAGTTCTAGGCCCCATAGATTAGAACGAAGGTGGGTCATGGTCACGTAGGTGGGGTTTCAGGACCAGGGTTCAGTGCTGGGTAGCATCAGTGTGAGCTCATCCTAGCTCCCTGCACACTCACACGCGCGTGCGCGCGCGCACACACACACACACACACACACACACGAGCTGCAAGCCAGGCAACCTCCAGGGCCAGAGCCTAGGAGTCAGCTCAAGGTCATGCTGCGTTTCAGGGCAGAACCTCCTTAGGTGAGCAGAATACACATGTACAAAGAGAAAAGGTGATTAGTTGGCACGTAAGGCCTAACTTCTTAGACACTGAGAGAGGACAGAGTTCCCTCCCCAACTTCCCAGCTGTTGCAGGAGACGCGGGTGCCCCTTACCCTGTCAGGAGGACGCCTGGGCTGCTGTCGGAGGCTCGCTGTGTTCCCCATGCCGGGGGGCGGGCCACGCAGACCCAGGCAGGTTGTCCAGGCAGTCACCGCGGGAGGGGGGTGGTCGGAGCCCTGATCCCACCGCACAGCCCCCGTGGTGAAGCCCTCAGGGAGGCCAGCCAGTGACTGCAAAGGGCAGGCTTTGCCACCAGCCCACAGCTCTGGATCGCGGGGAGCAAAGGGAAAGGAGAGGGATCCACCCTGCCAGTGGGGGGCGGCACCTCCGCTACCCAGGCTGCCCACTCCCTCCATGACCTTGGACTGGCAGGGTTGCTGGATGCAAAGGCAGCCTGTTTCTCCCTGTCGGTCAGAGCCACCCGAACGGCCACTGTGCGGTCTTGTGTTACCAGAGCCAGATGGGCGGGGCCCAGCAGCCAGACTGACACCGTCAATGCCAGTTTCCTGCAAAATCCCCCAAATGAGCTGGCAGGGAGCCCCCTCCTGGCTGAGGTTGGCATTACACCTCCAAATCTGGTTTTCAGCTCTTGTCCCCCCGCCCCCCCCCAGGTAACTTGGCTGCAGCCCACGGTGGCCTCTGAGTGGAGGACACGGCAGCCCCTATGAGTGGGCCACCCCCCATCCTTCTCCTTGCTGTTGCCTTCCTGCTCCCTGGGGCATCTGGCTTCCCACCTGGGCCTCCAAACCAGACCCCCTGCTGGCAGAACCCAACCGACCAGCCTCCCTCACCTCAGTGCACGCGGAGACCGCGGGGTCTGTTTCCCTGGAGGGGCCCAGGACCCGACCCTGCGCCCTGCTACCGGCAGCTGCCCAGAGCGGACAGCCAGAGCGCAGGGTGCCCTCAGTGACCAGTGCACTGAGGACCCTCACCTGCCCCACGTCCCCAGCCCCTGGGCACTCGAGGCAGGCGCAGTGGAGCGAGTGCCCGGTAGGGGCCAATGTGCCGTGTTTCAGGGACATGAGAGGAGCCGCACCCGAACCCACCAGCTGCCCCCACGGACCCCATTCCACAAGGCTGCAGACCATGCAGGCATCAACTTTAATATGGGGCTGACGTGTGAGGAGGCTGGGAGGGTCCCCTTTCTGTTCCAGGTGGGAGGGGGAGACGTCATCAGGATTGTCTAATACCAAGATGAGCCGTCAGCCAGAGAGCCGCGACCACCCCCGACAGCATCTGCCCCGTTGGAGCGCCCCGGGGGCCCAGCAGGTGCGCACCCCCCGAGCAGGCCTGTCAGCACCTCCGGGAATCCTAGGGAGACCACTGGCTCCCCAGGAATGTCCCTTTGCAGCGGGGCTGATCTCCCGCTGGTGCCAAGGACCAGTCGGGGCTCGGCCGCCATCAGCCCAGCAGGGGTGTGTCCACCCCCGCCAGCCCAACACCGCCGAACATCGACACAGAAGAGGGAGGTTTCCAGCCCCAAACCGATGGGGAGACTGGGCAGGTCAGGAAGCCAGGCCAAGGCAGGGACTCCCTAACTGAAGCCCCGGCCAGCCGACGGGAGCAGCAGGAAGAAGTGAGGGAGGGGCGGGCAAGGAAGCCAGGTTCGACGCGCCCTCCCAAGAAGACAGCAAGCTGCGGAGAAGGCGGCCCGCGGAGCCTTGCAGGGCCGGGGACAGGAGCGTGGCCAGCACCAGGAGCCTTGGGCCTGCCTGTGGCCGCGTGGGAGCTGCAGCGTCAGAAGCTGCATGTGGCTGGAGGGTCTGAATGTTGCCATTTAATCCAGAAACGAGAGCAAGGCCGCAGCGCCAGGGAAATGCTCCGCAGAGCCCTCCTGGTACCAAGCCCCGTGTGCCACGCTGCGCCATCAGCACCTGACCGGCCTGGCCTGGCGCCGGCCTCCCGGGAACCGGGTCAGGGCTGGCCACGCACCCAAACTCTGTGGCCCCCAGGCTCTGGGGAGTCCCCGCCAGTCCGTGAGAGGAGGCCGAGTTACGAGGCCGCCACCAGCTCCACCTGCCTGGGCTTGGCCTCGCGGGGGACTTTCTCTGTGGAGGAAAGAAAGCGGTGTTGGCCGAGGAGATCAGACCCGAGAAGCAGAAACTTCCAGAGTAGGAGGGGAGGTGGTAAGGAGCCAGGACCCAGGACAGCGTGCTCTGGACGGGGCCTGCGGGGCCCGAGGTGCAGGCAGGGGGCCTGACGTGAGGGAGGGTCAGGGAGAGGGGCAGGAAGAAACGTGGAGGGACCACCAGCCACACGGGGCCCCAGCAGGAAGTGGCCCCAGAGGGCCCTGCTGTCTAGAGGATGGCTTGTCCTGGGCTGGACATGGCCTTTTCCCAGCTCTGCTTGTGGGCTACGCCTCTCTGAACGGGGTCAGGCTCGAGAAGGTCACCCCATCCTGGAGCCCCGGGCCCAACCCCAGAGCGAGGCCTGTGCTTACCTGCCCCGCTGGGGAGGTAGGAACCGACTTTCACCGAGTGGAAAGGGGGGAAGGGAAGACCTTGTGGCCCAGGCATTTTGCTTTGTTCTAGAACTCCCTGTTCTCCAAAGGCAGGACGAGAAGCGTACCTGGTTTCTTTTCGGGAAGGGGCTCAGAAGGAACCTCTGGGAGCTCTATCTGCTCCTACAAGAAACAGAGGGCAGAGGTTACAGGACGCCGTCGGGGCGGGAAGTCCCCCACGCTGAAGCCCCCACAGCGGCTGGCACCGCTGAGACCTCAGTCGCCCCAGGGGGCTTCCCGGGTGATCTCCGCTCCGAACCTGGCCATGCACTTGGGCACACGTATGCGCACGAGCCCCGGAGCCACAGAGGCGCCCGCTGTGCTCGCTCGAGGGCAGGTCTGTGGTAGAGCTGCCCGGCCCCAGGGGCACCCCTCATGGCTTGGGGCATTCGGGCCCTCGGGGGGAAGGACACCAGGAGGCAGCGCCCACGGGACACCAAAGTGCAGAGCAGCGACGCTCGCTAGTGCTCGTCCCGCGGGTCCGGGGAGCGGCAGGCGGGGGGCACGGGGAGAATGCGGCGCCCCGGGGCGGTGGCCCAGAGACGGAGAGCGCTCAGCCAGGGAGCGGACACAGGCCTCAGGCCTACGTGAGACGACGTCAGCGGCGTCCAGGGTTACGTGTGCGGGCCCTGCGCGCGACAGCGAGCAAAAGGCCCCCCTGAGATCACAAAACCACACTCTGTCCTCTGGAGGGGCCGACGGAGCCGGAGGTCAGCATCTCTGCGCTGTCCCGGCCGCCGGGTTCCGGGCGGCCCCAGCCTCCAGCAACCTCCTCGGGTGGGCAGCGCACGAAACCGTCTCCCGGGGCCGGCTTCTCCCTGCGGTCAGCCAGGCCCACGAGGAGACGGGCCTCGGTGCAGCACAAATGCTAGTCGTTTCAGGAACACCGGCCGCAACGACAGGACTGTGCTCCCCAAGACCAGTGGCCACCACGGGCAGAAGCCGCCTGGGGTCCCGTCGCCCGAGGGACCGTGCCCGGCTCTGGGAGGTCCTATTACCTGAGTGATTGCGTTCAGCTCCTCCAGGATGGCGTCTTCATCCTCCTGAGTGAAGCTTCCGGCCAAGAGCTCGTCTATTTGCTGCGAGAGGAGAAGCAGAGGTGAGGACCGGGGCCAGGCTGGGTTAGGAGGCCGCCCGTGGCCCAAGCCCCCCCCACTTGAGAAAAGCTGACCACCACCGGCACGGGCAGGCGCGGCCCTCGAGGGCGGCCGCTGGGCACTCACGCAGGCGGCAGGTGGCCCCCGTGGCCCAGCAGCACCTACCCGCTGGTACTCCACGGCCTCCTGCGTCTCCTCCAGTATCCGCTCCACTTCCTCTATGGACATCACCTAATCGGTTTGGAGGGAGTCTCGTCAGCGAGGCCCTGGCAGAAGCCCTGGTGGTAAGGCCACCCGGACCGGGGGGCACCAGCCAGGCGCGCGCAACACGACACGGTTCCGCTTGTCTCTGCGTGGGCTGGGCCTGGGCAGAGACTCCGGAGCTCGGCCCCCACTGCTCCGCTCAGACGCCTGCCGGCCCTTCGCCCCAGACCTCCGGCACCTCACCCAGCCCTAGGAGGTCGAGGCAGAAATAAGCAGGAAGGTGTCAGAAACTTTCTCAGAGCGGCTGACTTGATCTCGTTTGGGTTCAAAGACGAGCCTCTGCTGGACCCGCAGGTACACACTGGACGGATGGGCAGAGCAGCTGGTGGCTGGGGCGCTCTGTGTGGCCCCCGCTGTCCCCTCACCAGGAGATCAGGGCGGGCTGGGGCACGGCCTCTCCCCTCCTCTTGCCACCACCTCTATGCCGCATCCTGTGACAAGGCTGTATTCACCTCCTCCAGGAAGCCCTCCCAGTGAGTCCACCACACCCTCCGTGCACCCTCACCGGACGACTCTTCCAGTCACATAAGCATCTGTGGACCCAATTTCTGCTCTGCGCCCATCACCGCACTCTCAGGTCAATACCCTGAGTGTGTCCGCCACCATCGCCGCCTCCTGGTAGCACCGGCTTTCCCACGTTCCCGGCTGGCACCAGCTGCTCCCAGCCCATGGCCTGGGCATAGGTGTGGCCTGGGGCACAAGCCCGTCCCCTCGTTCACCCAGCTCCCCTTCCTTTCTGCCCCCGGCCCTGCCAGGACCCACCTGGTGCATCTTTTTCAGACACTCGTTTCCAATCCGCAGCCCTTCGACCACCTTCATCTCAATCTGGGTGAACTCGATGCTCTGGACCTGGGGAGGATGTCGAGGCAGACCCAGCCGTCAGGTGTCTGCCCCTCCCCGCCCCCCCCCCCACCGCCCGCTGCACCGACCATTGTTTCCAGGCTGGTGATCTGGTTTTCTGTCTTGTCCAGAAGCTGCTCCCGATATCGCTTCTTCTTAAGCAGCAGCTTGGCCCGTCTGCGGAGGGAACCCGCTCGGTGACCCAGTGGCCAGCATGCCTGTTGGGGCCTTGCCGGGCGTGGACTGGCCTCCTGGGCCTACCCCTCCCACCCCCAGCTGCAGACCCATGGGGGACTGAAGCCCCTTCTTGCCCAGCCTGCCCTGGGCCCCACTTACTCCTTCTTCCCGTCCCGCAGGAGCTGCCTGGCGATCTCGCGCTCGCGTTCCAGCTGCTGGGTGACCCTCTTCTGGCACTGCTTCAGCTTGTCCCGCTGCTGCTTCAGTTGCTGCGAGAGCAGGCCTGGGTCAGCACACGCCCAGCTGCGCCGGGCCCTGCGCCCACCATGCAGCACCCTTGCGGCCGCCCCTGCGGCACACCCTCTAACACAGAGTTCTCCGTGGGGACAAAGGGCACATGGGGCAAGGGCTGGCGACATTTATGGCTGTCACCCCTGGGTGGGGGGCATGCTCCTGGCACCATGGGGTGGAGGCCAGGGGTGCTGCCCGGCATCCTGCAAGGCCCAGGACACCCCACAGAGAGGGGCAGCCAGCCCCAGGGTCCACAGCGCTGAGATGGAGAGCCTGTTCTTAGCGGCGTCACTGCACAGCATGGCTGTGGGTGCTGGGGAGGGGGCAGGTCAGAGTGCCGCCACTGCCTCCAGGGTTCAGAGACAACCCAGAAGGGCCCCGGCGAGCCACCGGCCCACCCAGCCACAGCGAGGGTTTGGGGCCTTGCAGCCCGGCTCTGCCGGCTTCAGACGGGTCCCCGAAGTGTGCAGCCCCTCTGCCTCTGCCGCTCATCACTGTGCCTTTGCTCACAGCCGCCGCCACGTTCGAGTGAAGTGTTTGCGTGATCGTGCCAAGCAGCTGGGACCCCGGGTGCTGTCCCAGAAGGGACGGGGTTGGGGGGCATTTACCGTGTCAGTCAATCCTGCCCTAGTCTAGACCACTCACATTTCTTTCAAATTTCACCATTTCAGAGGACGCTACGGTGAGCGCATGCGGGCACAGGGCATTTCTCCTATGTGGCCTTCGATCTTTAGGAACGATTGCCCTGAGTTAATCAAGTTAAATGAAAAGGTCGGTACACCTGTAAGACTCGGTGTAGTAAGAAATCATCCGCCAGTGTAGACGTGTCTGCAGGGACCCGCTTCACGGCTCCCTCCACAGCATGCCTCCTCAGCACCTGCCCAGGGCGCCACATGGCCGGTGGGGCGGGCTGGGTGCCGGCTGCGTACTCTCCTTGCCGCAGTGGCAGGTGCCCACTCTCCCGGCAGACAGGGTGGCCAGCCTACGTGCCGTCGTCTCCGCTCTGGCCGCCGATCCTCCCCGGAGGTGGGCACCCACCCCCGCCCAGGGCCACTGTCCCAGCCGGGTTTGTGCAGAGCACCGAAGACCAGCCGCAGGACGCAGGTGCTTAGGGAAACCAGACGCGGCGGCGGAGGGTCACGGGGCAGACGGCGCCCGGGCCGGGAGTTCCCAGCTTTACATCCGAGGGACCGGCCAGTCGTCGGGTTTATTGTGCGCGGACCGCGCTGCTCCGGTCTGGGCACGCCCAACAGGGCTCCCGGCCAGGACAAGGGCCTCCTTGAAGAGAAGCCCAGAGGTGGGTCCTTGGAAGGAGGAGAGAACCGCGGGGGCTGCTCGCGGCGGGTGTCCGCCAGGCGCGTCCCCGCCTCCGCAGAGCCCAGCGCGCGCCCCCGGGCAGCACCCCCGCTCCTAGGGTTTCCTCCAGGGACACCCGTGCCAGACGCGGCTCCATCTGGGGAGCCTCAGTCAAGGACCTTTAGGACAGGAGGTCCCTGCAGCCAGCGCGAGGCCGCCTGAGACTGAGCCCGTTTCTCTCAGACCCGACGCCGGGCCGCCCGCCGGGCTGGCTGGAGCGCGAGCGAGGGTACGCGGGGCGGCGTCCGCGGCCACCCCTCTTGGCGCTTCCGACGCGCTGTCCCTCCTAGGCCGTCCTGCGTCCGGGCCGCGGAGACCGAGTGCGCCGCGGGGCAGCCGGGGTCCGCACGCCCGCACCGCGGGCCGCCATGTGCGGGGCTGGCAGCGCGGCGCTCCCGCGGGGCTCCGGGGCTCCGAGACTCCGAGGCGCCCGACCACCCGGCGGGACCGGCCCCCCTCCCGGGCCGCGGCGCCTGCCCCCTGCAGCGCGCGCTCGCCCGCAGACCGAGAGCGGCTGCGACACCGCGCGACTCTCCGCGCCGCCCCGACCCCGCGGCCCCGTCCCGCCTCCGCCCGGGTCGCCAGCCGCCCGCGGTCCGGCGTCGCCACCCGCGGCCAGAAGCCCGCCCGGCGGAGCGGCAGGCCCTCCCGGGGGCCGCGCAGCCCTGCCTCGCTGTCCCCCGCCGTCGCCGCGGGGCCCGCTCTCACCAGGACGGCCTTGTCTTGCTCGGTGACCCGGCTCTGCTTCTTGCGGCCGAACAGGTTGCCCATGGCGCCCCGGCCCGCGGCCCCGCCCGCCGCGCCCCCTCGCCGCCCTCGCGGCCTCCGTACCGAAGCCCCGCCCCCGACGGCGGCCGCGCGAGGCCAGGCGCCGCAGAAGGCGAAGCGCGTGCGGGCGTGCGGCGGGCGGTCCAGGGATTCGGATCCGCCCTCGCCGGAGACGGCGACCGCGGCTCGAGGGCGCTGCCGGTCGGGCCTGCGCAGTGCTAAATGGCGCATTTCGCGTGCTCTCCGGAGTGCCCTGCAGCTGCAGACTAAGACTCAGAGTTGCCGTCTCCCGTGTAGGGGGGATCCTTGCGAGGTAGCCGGGGGCCGGAAGCCTTGTGCGCGAGCCCCTGCGCCCCGGCGGGTGCGGGCCACGAAGTGCCGCGCTCAGTGATCCTGTGTCCGGCCTGCGGGCTTCCAGGTGTGTGCGACGGCTACCGGGCCGTCCGCCGGGCCTGCGCCCTGCTCACCGTGGGTCCGCCCGGCCTGCGGCCCAGCCCCTGGGACGAGAGCTCGCTTGGGGCTCCGCGGTGCGCAGCCGCTCGCCCGCCGCCCCGGCCCCCAGCTGTGTGTCCTGGCCGCGCGCGCCGGGTTCGGGGGGCGCACGGCCTCTCCCGGGACAGCACCCAGCCCTGCTGGGTCACCCCGGCCGGTCCTGTATCGGAGTCTGCCCTGGGCCAGGCCCGGTCCTAACAGCCCAGCGGCTCACGGGAGGGGCGCGGGGGTGCTGAGATGAGCCCCTCGCCTCACCTCTCTTCGGTCGGACGCCGTGTCGAGTGGGCACCGGGCTGGCCGGCTTCCGCGGGGGTGCGCTGGCAGGAAGCCCTGCAGGTGGGAAGGGAGGTCCGTATCCAGAGAAAGTGTCTCTGCAGTGAGGACAAGTCCACTGCCTCGTGACGGAAACATCGGAATAGCCGGCTGGTGGGGCAGGCCGGTCCCCCCCAGGACGTGGTGCTCTTCTGGGGAATCAGCGCTGCTGAGCGGCTGGGCACTCCGCACTTGTGGGGAGCAGGCGGGCCTTGGCTGGGGGAAGTCTGTGATGCTGAGCGCACAGCCTCTACCGCAGCTGCCATGGCCACTTTGTGAGCGCTGGGAGGCCGGAGGAAACCCTCCATGGTGGTGACTCACGTCAAGTTTGGCCACAAGGCCTGGAGTTCTATTTCTGTTCCACAGATGGGCCCCAGTCTAGGTGGCCACCGGGTACTTCATTCTGGACACCCTCATTAGCCAGAGATCCCTGCGAGAGAGTGTGCTGCGTATCCGTGTTCCAGCCGCCTGCTGGGGTAAGGTCCGGCCTTGCTGGGAGGCGGCGTGCCACACTGGGACCGTGCGGCCTGCTTGGGGCAGAGGAAGGGTCCAGAGGCCGAGAGCCAGAGCTGGTCTGCAGGAGAGACCACCCCTTGGCCAGGAAGCTCACTGGGGGGCACACTGGGGCTACAGCAACTGCCCGTCAGGGCTGAGAATCTTGCTGTGCACAGGACAGGCTGCGGGAGGCCCGCCCAGAGCAGCTGCAGGTGGAGGAGAAACTCACTGAGGGGCCTTGCACCGCAGGAAGAGGGAAGCAGCTGGCGCCAGGAAGGGAGCCCTTTCCTCTGCCTGGCAGCCCTGTTGCTCCAGAGCTCCAGTGAGGAAGCCCCCAGCCAGCAAGCCGGCCAAAGAGAGTGAGTCCCCGCCCAGCCCTTACTACTGCGGCAGTGGCGCTCCTGGACTCCCGAGATCAGGTCCTAAAAGCTGACACGGCCAGTGGAACTCAGCCACCTGGTCAGCCCGCAGCGCCCCCTGCCCTGGGAGGAACTGGCAGGCAGCAGCCCGTGCCAGCTACTCGGGCACCGGCTTGCACAGGCAGGTCTCTGTCCCCACGGGCGGGGCCACGCTAGCTGACATCACGGGGAGCGGGGATGCGCCTTCCCTGTGGACTCGGCCAAACCTGCAGATTCCTGAACAAGACCGACGGTGGCCGCTGTTCCATAGCAGCAGGGCAGCGGAAGGACGGAGTAGGCACTGTGGGCAGGCCGGGCACTTGCAGCGTGGCCCCCCAGTCGTGGAACCGGCTGGGGCTGGGGGCCGGTGAGAGGTCGGACTGTTAGGTGCGTGGCGTCAGATCTCTCCTCGCCCATCTGGGTTGTTTTTTCACTGATCGTGTGTGCTTTCCCATGACGTCCGTTTTGTTCAGGCCTAGGGGCACCTGCCCCAACTGTCAAGTCCAAGACCAAAGCCAGAGAGCCCAGCACTGTCCCTCGTGACGGCTGCTCCCACAGCCCTGCTCACCTGACCTCTGGGCCTGCCCCCTCGGGTGCCCAGGGGAAACCGGCACTCCCACCATCATTCCTGGCCCACAGAGGGCTTTTCGAGAATATGTGGTCCTCACCAAGGGCTTTCGCCAGGCCTCTGTCAGGGCAGTGTGGTTTGGGGACACTGAGGCTCTCAGTGAGCGGGCTGCACCTGACAACTCGCAGCAGGTCCTTATCTCCCAAAGTTCCTGGACTCTTCCCTACGTATCACACCAAGGGACTTTTGGCTCAGCTCAGCTGTGCCAAGTCCAAGCTTCCAGCAACAAAGGACCAAACTGGGCCTCTGTGGCTCTCGGTGCGAGGCAGCAAAATCTTGGTGTTCCTGGGGTGGGGCCCGGAGGAGAATCAGCCTCCCCTTAGCCAGCGACTGCCTCGGTGTGGTCTGCACGGAAGGGGTGTCTCAGGGAGGAGGGTCACCTGTGCCGGCGGGCCAGGTTTATGGGATGAGCTTGGGTCCTTCCCCTCCACTGTCTTGGTCCTCACACACGCTCGTGCTGCTCCAATCTGGACCTGGGAGGGTGGAGACCCCGCTGTGTGTTGGAATCCTGCCAGCCCCAGGCTGAAGCTGGGCCATGATTTCCTGGGACAGCAGAGCTGCCACAAGAAACCAGATCTCTTATAGCAGCCCAATAGATTTTCCAATTTTCTGGTTCTACCTTGGAACTGAGAACTTAAAGCTTGTCTTATAAATGTAATGTTCGCGGGGGAAGTCTGAAATTGCCGGCCTGCCCTCTGACCTCCTTTTCTCTTAATTACCTCTGTCGAGACCCTACGTCCTAATTACATCACATTCAGAGGAACTGTGGGTTGGGAATTCAGTACCTGAATTTTGAGGGGACAAGGTTCAACCCACCACACACGAATGAGATCATCACTTCCTATCACCTTTCCTGGACTTCTGCCTCCCAGGCTCTCTCCTGGAGCGACTTGTGACACGGGCCACTGTATCACCCGCCTTCACTCGGGGCAGCTCTCTGGGCACTTCAAGGCTAAGTGTTTAGTACAGAGGTTCGGTGCCTCTAAACCGCGGATGGGCAGGAATGAAGGGAAGGCCGCACCACTGGATCCTGGGGCGGGGTGGGGGGTGCTCAGGAGACTCCTCCTGTGGGTGGACAGTAGCCCGGGATCCCGACGTGGCTTCCAGGGACGGTGTCAGTGGGGAGGTGCCGTTTGGGGTGGCCGTTCCATGACGCGCAGACCCAGGGGACGTTGGTATGAAAACATGGCCCTTGGGCGGGCCACCATCAACAGGGCCGCTGGCGGCTGGTAGGGTGCTGGCGGCCCCCGTGGAGTGACCCCCGGCCTTGTGGTGCAGATGACGTAAGCTGTACGTGAGGCACCTGGGAGTTGGCTGTCGGGGACCCGCGCGGGAAGCCGCCGCCTCTGTCCACCTGCTCTCCGCCTCCAAATCCTGGCTCCCCGACACGAGCTCTGATTGGCTTCCCTCCCTGGGCCAATCGGCTGTGGCCGTGGGGGGTAGGGGGGCTAATTGGTTGAGCCGAGGGCCGTGCCCTCAGCTGAGCCAATCCGCAGAGGGGAGGGCGGGGCCCACAGGAGGCAGGCGCGCCCACTCACGTACGCTGAGCAGAGGGAGTTGCCTCCCGGAGCCGACGCCAGGTGTCCCCGGACGCCAGCCGTCCCCCGACGCCAGCCGTCCCCGGACGCCAGGTGCC